AGAGAGATGATAGAGGGATAGAGAGATAGAGTAAGATGATAGAGAGAGAGAGATGAAAGAAAAAGAGAGAGAGAAATGATAGAGGGATAGATAGAGAGAGTGAGATAGATGGAGGGATAGATAGATGGATAGATAGAGAGAGAGAGATGATAGAGGGATAGATAGATAGAGAGAGTGAGATAGATAGATAGATAGATAGATGGACAGGCAGACAGATAGATAGAAAGATCTATTATTTGATATATGATATTGTTTCTAATCATTATTATTACATTATGTATTATTCCTTCATGATATTTCTTTTTATTTTCGAGGTTCTCCAGCAGGAACCAAATACATTAAAAAACACCAACACACGACGATGAGTCCTTTGAGAGGCAGGTGGCAGCAGAGAGACATGTTTGAATCTCTCCCTTCTGCATCTTGTATCTGCAGCCTGACAGAAGCTGCAGAAACTCACGGTGCAATTCACAGAGCGACCTGAAGGAGCCTTCTTTAAAAACGCTGAATAATGTCCTTTGATCCCAGCTTCCATCTGCTTCCTTCCTTTGATGTCATATATCATTTGCTTTTTGTGACTAAACTGTTCGATTGATTGAAAAGTAAAAAGCTGATGAACTGAAAATGAAAGTTAACACGGACGTTTGACATATTTCTAACTAAACCCTCGTTACTTATAATCCTCTGCTTTTTATATGACCCTGTTTGATTCTTTCTCATTTGTATGTAAGCGGTCCGAATCCACCCCGCTGTGTAAGACCTGATCCTTCAGAGGCTGACAGTCACCAGGTGCCAGCAGAGGAACCTCCACCTGGTAAATCTCTCAAGCTGCTCATGTGTCTGTTGGTGAAATGTAGGTCAGGTTACATCAGGTTTAACTTCTCCTGACGTGTTTCTGCACAAACTGCTGCTGAAAACCACAGAGAGAGAACAAGAGGGACACGACACGAAGGAAAGAAACTTCATGTTTGACGTCTGAATATCACACGACCTGGATTTTATTAATGGAGCTGGATCCAATTTTTACGACTGGATCATTAATCTACAGTGTGAAAAACACTTCACTCGTTATTTCACATTAGTTCATTTTGGTTGAAAATGTGGGATCTGTTTGTTTCATTCAATCTTGACTATGTATTCACCATTAATTCCTTTTCTACTCATTTACATGTTTTGTATTTTACATCACAGTCCTCTGGAGATATGTCCCAGAATATTCAAAGTATAGTTATTCGATTCATTAATTAAATTTTTATAGTTTGTAATGTTCCATCACAGACTTTTTAGTTTTCAGAAGTGTTTCCTGAAGTTCTGTTTAAACTGGGGATTTTTAAAAGCAGATTGAAAACGTTCCTATTCACAAATTAAACTGTTTTACATCACTGTATTATATACCTCTTTTAATCACTTTACATATTTTAATCTCTTTCCTTTTGCTTGAAATAATCTTTTCTGATTTTAAATGTAATGTCTTTTAATTTTTAATTTGAATGTCCCTGTTCAGCAGCTAGAATCTACCTCAGTGTGTCAAAGACTTTGCCCACAATCTACATGTTGAAACTTATGTGTTGAGATTTGGCCTCAAGCAACTTTATAATGTGAACAGAAAATAGATTCTGATTCGGAGGAAAAGCCTCAAGAGAAGCTGTGCAGGTCAGAAAGTGGAAGAAACCAGTTTGTAACTTGTAAAATCTAAATGTTCTGGATGAGAATGTGATGGAGCAGAGATCTTCTCTGGCTCTTGAAGGTGTGATGCCTCCGTGGAGAAAGAATCAGGCTCCATATGCTGATGTAATCCGGTCCAGGTGGTGCTGTCTGCTCCTATTAGAGGAGCCTCCACCCGTCCGACCCTGAATCACAGAGCTGCAGCAAAGTCCCACCGAGAGATCCAGGTTTAATTTATGTCATTCGAAGTCTCATCAAGGTAAAGATGCATTTCTGTGCATGTGAACCTGTGATACTGAGGACGAGACAATCAACAGACCTTGATCCTTATTAACGCAGCAGCCGGTTCTGTGTTTAGACTCGAGTGGAAGCACAGTTTGCACAGTGACGTTGTCGTTCTCCTCATCGCACTCGTTCACGCTTGTTTCATACAAGTGACGACACATTCCTTCTCACTGTGATAAACTTTAATCAAGGCTTCTGAACATTCTCCCATGATCAGTGATGGCAAGGATAATAATAATAATCAATAAATAGATAAATAATCTACAAAGTACTGGTCGTGTTGGGGTGTAAAAGTACAAAATTTAATAAATATGAGTCAAAAAAAAGATTTGATCAGATCATCGCTGCTTCAATCAAACCTGGGTCTGGCTTCATTTGTGGTGTTTGTTTTAACCTGCTGTGAGCCTCAGACGGGTGGGGTTAACTGCACCGGGCCTTGTTCAGAAAGAATCAGGTCAGTTTGAAGAAAGATTTGCACAATTTATACTTTGTTTGTTTTGAATCTTTGTTCATTCAGAGATCCACCTGACGATCGCCCTGCTCCACACTCCAGACAAAAGAAACCAGGGAGGTGAGGGAGCAAGAGTCAGCTCTAAAAATGCAACACGGTTAAAAATGATTCTAGCATGTTACACTAATTAATGTGCAAACACACAGAAGCATATTTATATTCTGCACTTTTAAAGTTCTGGGTTGTAAAGTGTCTTATTGGAAAGAATTCACCACTAAGAAGCCAAGTTTTAAAATGATCTTAAGAACATTTTTTAAAAGATATCAGTAATATCTCAACAGGCTTTAATTTCATTTACATTTTTTGTTATTTTTAAATGTCATATTCTTGCACATCTTTCTCTCTAACTAGTTAAACCCTTTTGTTTCCCATTTATATTTTAAAATGTGGTTATATGAGAAAAGAGGAGTATTTACATCCTGCACTGGTTAATGTGGCGTCTTGTTGAACATCTCATCTTGTTTTCAGTGGCTCGGTCGCCTCAGTGATCCACATCAGTGTTTGCAAAACAACCACCACACGTCTGTGCCGGAGGCCACAGAGCAGCTGATGATTTCAACGCTTGTTGATGGAAGATGGAACAAAAAAAAAGGGGGAAAACCTCGATGCAGAGGAGGAGACCTCCTGAGAGCCTCCAGGTTTCTCCTCAGTAAACTGAGCTTCAAATGTAAAAGAGACATCACAGGTGCTGGAGGACGAAACACTTTCCCCCACCCACCCTGACACCGTCTCTCAGCAGGTTGAAACAAACATCCCCTGGTGTGGAACTCGTTCACTTGAAGTCACAGCTCTGCTCTCCCATCAGACAGTTGATCTTCCTCCACCAGGTCTCTGACAGACTCTTGATCTTGTCTGGCGTCTTCCTCCTCAGAGTCGTCCTCTGCTGCTGGACGCTGCTACTGTCTGTCTCCTGGATGCTGGCCAAGATGGCCGAATCAAACGCATCCTTCAGGTTCTTCTGGGTCAGCGCAGAGCACTCGGCAAAGCTCACGGCCCCGAGCTCCAGGGCGAGCTGCTCTCCCTCCTCTGTGTCCACCGGCCGCTGCTGATTCTGTGCCAAGTGGATCAGCACCTGGACGTCCTCCTTCAGGTCCAACTGGGTGCCAACCAGGACCAGGGAGGCGCCGGGACAGTGCTGACGGATCTCAGGGACCCATCTGTCCATCAGGTTACGGAAGGAGCAGGGCCGCACCACGCTGTAGCAGAGCAGGAAGACGTCTGCGTTCTTGTAGCAAAGTGGCCTGAGACGCTCCAGCTCGTCCTTCATGAGGTAAAGAAACAGAGAGGTCACTCAGTCAGACACAGAGAAGATGAGGCCTGTGTTTGTAATGAAGAAATCCCCTGAAAATACCACAACCACGTGTCCTTCTCACTTATTTCCTGAAATGGATGGAAGCTGCAGGTTTAATCAGACGCCAAACAGAAGGGACACTTGTTGGGGACTAATTTGTAATTGAACCACATTTGGTTCTGTGGTGAGTATTTCCAGCAGCTGGTTTCCTTTTCAAATAATGTTTGATCTCTATCTCTAAATCTCAAATTGACCTTCAAAGCTGAACTGATAAACTCTGTTTTCAGATTCATGTGGTGGAAACAACAATGGACAGAGAAAATGAATCTAGATTTTAATCTATAAATCTAAATCTGCTCCTCAGGGACCAAGTTCAAATATTTTCACTCTTACTATTTCTGGTATTACCTGAGTTTTAGTGTAATATTCTTTTTGACTCTGTTTTCACAAAATCAACCAAAGAATCAG